GATTTTGATGAGCAGAAAACAGCGATAGAAAATAGTGATTTCAAGCATATAAGTCTAACTGCTATTGCTATTGCTATAGATAAAATAAAATGAGATAAACTGCTCACTGGACATGCTGATAAGAAAATTAAAGCTTAGATGAAAACTGGTTTGGTGTGGTGGCTAGAAACTGGAAGACTAGGATTTCTACCAATTTAGGCAAAAACCAGCCGGGTGACTTTAAACTAGTCACCCTCTCTCAGTCCTAAGAAGGAGACAATGGCAAACCACTTGTAAAGATTGTCCAGGCAGCCTCTGAGAATTGTGCTTGATTAAATAGAAGGGGGAAAAAGGCTTAAGTATTTTGGATATATACAGTAATACGTAAGTCAGGTCTATTAGAGTGTATCCTTGAGGGCAATTGAAGAAGTCAGCAACTACCATTGATAATCCAAGCATGAGCTCAATTCTGGCAGATTTTTCTTTTTCTACTTGTTCTTGTTTCTTTAAAGAGCATATTACCTCTGTCTAATGAAAACTTGCTTCTACAGCTACGCTGCCATTATGTGATGAAATCTTCCGCAGCTATTGCAAGAATGTGTCTCTGCTAAGAATAATTTTTACTAAAGTTTCTCACACTCCTCTAATAAGGATCAACCCGGTTCTGCATATAAAAATGTGCCGTTTTGATTTACCACTACATCTAGTAAGTCTTCCATTACTTTGATTTGCGGTCTGCTCTTGAACTTCAGACTCATGTTCTTCTTGGCATCTTTCTTAGATTTATAAAATATATATAAACTAATCTGAAGAATGTTAATTCTGCTGGAAACTATGTCCGGGTCTTATATCCTGATATAATGTTCCAATAAAAGATAATTTTTAAGTCCATATAACTTTTTTTCATAAGCCTCTTTGACAGACTAGCCAAGGGAAAGAGAAAAACAGGGCAATTTCATTCACTTCTACTTTTCACTAGAAAGCCTCGTGGAATGAGATTTATTTTGTCTAACACATTTCTGGAAATGCCTGACTTTTCTTTATGCATTCCTTTTTCTCCCTGCTGCCTCACACAAGATCCATGTGACACGGCTTATCTCAATACATTTTCTCAATTTTTAAAATAAATTTATTGTTTTATCCTAGAGAGCAGAGGTGGGTTCTTGTAACTTTTGCGTGCTTCAAATGCCAGAGTTTCTGAGCCAACGTTTTGGTTGCTAAGCAAGAGCGTTGTTAAGTGAGTTTCACCACATTTTACAAGTTGGCCACTCCTACCCAGTCCCATGACTGCCAAGCCACTCCCACCCAGACACATGGCTGGCAAGCCACTCTCACTCGGTCATATGGCTGGAAAGCCACTCCCACCCGGTCACATGGCTGGCAAGCCACTCTCACTCGGTCATATGGCTGGNCTGACTCTCTGTAAACCGCTTAGAGAGGGCTGAAAGCCCTATGAAGCGGTATATAAGTCTAACTGCTATTGCTATTATTAAGTTTTAAATGCAATAAAAATAATACAGACTAAAATAAGAAAAAAGTGCAAAAAGGCAAAGGAAAAAGAATTCCTCCAATAAAGCAACTTCCTACCCTTAACATAATCTCTTCATCTTCCCTTAATTAACATATATGAAACTCGCACATCCCTCTTTCAGAAACCACTATCTTGCAGTTTCCTCCTGAAGAGCGTTCAGAAGGAGAACAGCTTGTTTCAATATTGTACTCTCTCTTTATCCAGAGAGGATTGTAGGAGCCAATCTACTCATTGGTCTCTATTCATGGCTGCAAATGTTGGCTCCACTTTTTTCAGAGCAAACTTCAGTCCACCATCTTCCCCATAAATCACTCTTGTCTAGGTTTCTATATGTAGCCCTGTTTCCCCTTTTTTACAGGAAAGAAGATGTTAGGTTGACTGCTGACAAAAAACAAAAGATTCTCAAGGGCCTTTATAACCTTTTCTTTCCCCACTTCTAACCACAAATTTTCATTTTTGTCTTTGCTTCCTCTGTATTTTCTGCATTGTGAGAGTAATCTCAAGAATAAGGACTACCTCTTAATACTCGGAATATTTCATAAGGCTTTGTTTTGTTTTCATAAACTTTTGCTTATTTTGTTTCAGGAGAATGATTTGGAGAGAAGAATTATTTTTTTTTTTCTCACTTGCTTATGTTTTCATGCCGCCCACTTTATATAAGGTCTTCATTTCCTCTTTAACAGGTATATGTGACAGCTGAAAGTCGCTTTAACACGTTGGCAGAACTAGTTCACCACCACTCAACGGTAGCTGATGGCCTTGTAACAACTTTGCACTACCCAGCACCCAAGTGCAATAAGCCCACAGTCTATGGAGTGTCCCCCATCCATGACAAATGGGAGATGGAAAGGACAGATATCACCATGAAGCACAAACTCGGCGGAGGACAATATGGTGAAGTGTATGTTGGAGTATGGAAGAAATATAACCTTACAGTTGCAGTAAAAACACTCAAGGTATGATTGCAGTCGTGAGAGCATTGTGGTGTTATTGAAATGCATCTGAAGTGTACTCTGCTAGGCCTAGAGCAGTGGTCTCTAACCTTGGCAACTTTAAGATTTGTGGACTTCAATTCCCAGAGTTCCTCAGCCAGCTTTGCTGAGAAAGCTGACTGAGGAACTCTGGGAGTTGAAGTCCACAGCAAAGCTGGCTGAGGAAAGCTGACTGAGGAACTCTGGGAGTTGAAGTCCACAGCAANTTCCCTTCATAAGACCCTTGTTGCGTCTTATGCTCGGGTGTGTCTTATACTCGGGTGCGTCTTATACTCCGGAAAATAAGGTACTTCTTGAAAATGCTACATCAGTAATTATTACAGGAAAAGTTGAAGGGCCCAGAAATGTTCGAATTATAGCGTGTGGGAAAATCATTGAGCATACAATGAACTAAATATATCTTACAACTTTTCATCAAGAAGGGAGAGGGTTGCACTTTCTTAAATTTTTTTAAATGTAGGAAAATATATTCCTTTATATTTTTTTTCTTTTTCTTGGCAGATGAAATCAGCCCAAAAATTATTTTCATTTGATTTAAAAATTAAAATTTTAAAGCTCAATATTTTATTTCATTAAACTATGAAATTTTTTTAAATCTAAAATAGTATTATATAATGTGGTTTGTAACTGGTCAAAAATAGGGTTACTAAATTTGACTATTACTAAAATGTCAAAATGACTAATCATATGTAAAACCTTGAATTTGATTGTCCTAGTCAAAAGAATTATGTGCCAGGGTTATAGGACACTTTGAATTTCAAAGTGGACTCCCTGAATTTGAAGTGTGTATGTGATATTTGCCTTCAGATGACTTCAGATTCATGCATAGGCAATAAACCTGGCTTATACTGTATTAATTTTTTGCTCAAATCTACAAGACATTTACAGAAATAACATCAGATACGCTTATTGTTCCATATTTGCATTGGCAGTGCATCTACCAGTTAGCAAATTGCTCTGCTTATTAATACATGTTATTAGAAATTGAATTATTTTCTCTGTGACAATGTACTATTTAATTTGCTACTAGAGCACACTGTAGCTTTTTCTGTAGTAATTTTTGATTCAAGAAATGAGGCATAACAGCAGTTCTCCATTCAGATTGCATTGGATAACAGACCTGCTATGATTTAGCAGTAAGCTATATCATAGTTGTGGTTACCTCTTGCCCATTTTGTTCAGGTAAATAGTCTTGATGCCCTTTTCACTATGATCAATCACAGTTACCTTGCCTCCCCACTTCTTTAAAAAACTTTTTTTTTAACTTTCCAGTCTCTAACTCCTGATATGTAAACACCATATCAAGATAGTATTTAAGCCCCAGGTTATCTTTATATACTCCTAGGAGGAAGATTTTTTTTTTAAAAAAAATGGAGCTTTTTCCTAAAATCTTTGATGCTGTAAAATTATTAAATATTGCAATGCCAATTTGGTGACATAAGAGATGGGTGTTTCAAGATGATCGTACTCATTGTCTGGTGATCATTTTGAGATCAGGCAAGTCTCTTGTGACAACCATTTTGTAAATGGACATTAGAAATTCCAAATGTCACTTAGTGTTGTGCCCGTCCCCCCCCCCAATGATCTTATTTCTCTTGTATCTAAAGATCTGCAACCATTCACTTCGGTATCTTGCATTGTTGATACCTTGGCACCCAACAAACTGTCTTCATTTCATTCAGTTAATTTCTTATAACCTTGGTTTTTTACTTAGTTTGATCTAATCATAATAATTCAAACTAGCATCTGGCTGAGTCCTAATAAATTTGAGAGCCTCAGTACTTCTAGTGTGTAGTGAAACTGAAAAATTCTTCTGATTTACAGAATTCAGTCTCCTTTGATAATTCAAGCATATGATTTTCATATTCCCATATCTGCTATTCTGCTGTCCAATTTCTACTGCTCGTAATTATGATGCTTTCTCATTCCTATACTTTTTAAATGTTTCACACTTTTATAAGCCTAATATCAGATGCACATAATGGTGTAGTTCACACATAATGTTAACGCAGGGACATTTTAATTTGTGTTTTGATGAACAACTCACTGTGATGAACAACTCACTTCATGCAGAAGTAAGTCATTCTAAGCAGTTCATATAATGTGCTAAATTAAACACATTGGAAATAGTATTACCAGCGTACCAGGTCAATACTTATTGAATAAGATTATCCATAATGAACATTAAGGAAACATGTTGTGCAATATGGTGATTTTTCATGGTGAAAATTATAGAACAGAAAAGCTATAAAACTGTCATTTGTGGAGTAATACATATAAATTGTATGTTCTATCTGTTTTGTGAAAGACATCTCGGGACATTAACATGGAACACAAAGTTATACTCTCTGTGCTTAGTTTCTAGGTGTTGCTATTTTATGATACTCTTGTTTGTGTGAATGAAATTATTTCTTATATGGTTAGGACAAGGTCAACGTTAAAATAAATCAAAAATTTAGTTAAAATTTTATCTATTTGGAGTCTTCTCTTTGCCTTAGGTGAGAAGCTACGTGTATTGGGTTACAATCAGAATGGTGAATGGAGTGAAGTACGCTCCAAGAATGGACAAGGATGGGTGCCAAGTAACTACATCACTCCAGTAAACAGCCTGGAGAAGCATTCCTGGTATCATGGACCAGTGTCACGTAGTGCAGCTGAATATCTGTTGAGCAGCCTCATTAATGGCAGCTTCCTTGTTCGAGAAAGTGAGAGCAGTCCAGGACAGCTGTCAATCTCGCTCAGGTACGAGGGACGTGTTTACCACTACAGGATCAATACCACCACAGATGGCAAGGTAAATCTGTTCTGAGAGACTTTTTTTCATGGGTACAATACTGTGTTTCCCCGAAAATACAACAGGGTCTTATTTTCTTTTTACCTACAAAATATGGCTTGGGCTTTA